GACAGCAGGAAAACCGAAAAACCACTTGCGAAATGCTACTCGCCAGGTACAAAAAAAAGTCATTTCTCCATCGAATTGTGACTGGCGATGAAAAGTGAATATATTTTGAGAATCCTAAGCGTAAAAGACCATGGGTAACTCTAGGCGAACCATCGACATCGACTGCAAGGCCAAATCGCTATGGACGGAAGACAATGCTCTATGTTTGGTGGGATCAAAAAGGTGTGATCTATTATGAGCTGCTAAAACCTGGCGAAACCGTTAATACTGAACGCTATCAAAAACAAATGATCAATTTAAATCAAGCTTTGCGTGAAAAACGACTGGAATATCAAAAAAGGCATCACAAAGTGATTTTGCTTCGTGATAATGCACCATCACACACAGCAAAACTGCAAGGAAACGATTGAGGCGTTTGGGTGGGAAATACTTTCGCATACGGCTTACTTAAGGCTTGGCTCCGTCCGATTGCTACTTATTTGCATCGATGGGACACGCACTTGCTCAGCAGCGCTTCACTTCTTACGAAGATGTACGAAAATGACTGGTTTGGCTCTAAACAGCAACAATTTTTTTGGCGTGGTATCCACAAATTGTCAGACAGGTAGGAAAAATATATAGCTAGCGATGCGAAATACTTTGAATAAAATATTTTTTTTCATTTTCATGCAATAAACGTGTATTTTCTATTAAAAAATTCAAGCTGTTGTCCGAGTTGTTGACCAACAATTTTATCTTAAGAAAAACAGGCGCCGCGTCGCCATAAAAATCATAAAAAACGTGAAATAACTTCTCACGGCTGTTTACATAGCCGTATTTTTCACGAGGATGAAGGAATCCGTCACTCGCTTAAAACAATCTTGCCCCTTTTAGAGAAAACATAAATCATTCCTTTTGTTCTCTAAACCCCTTTTTTCAATGCAGTTTAGATTAACAACGATAGGACGTTTTAAAAATCATAAATCTCGCGTGACATTGCAACTAAGTATTGCATCCTAGACAAAGGGCACTACGCCCCTTTTTCGGGGTATAAATAGAGGCCCCGTAGAAGCGCAGAGAGTCAGATAAAATTTAAAGGTAGCCGAAGCCACGTCGAGAGTTCGCGGCAATTTAAAAGTATTCGAATCCACGTAAGAAGTTCGCGGAAATTCAACTCGCGAAAAACAGTACATCATTCGAGTGCTCTGGTGACCTCTGGGGTTCCTAGAGACCACCTACCCGCCAACCGCTATCCTCAG